CCCCCCCCCCCCCCCCCCCCCCAAAAAAAAGGAACCAAATTGAAAAGACACAGATTGCATTTTCCAATGAAAGAAATGGTAAAGATGTGCCTATTAAGGCTACTACATTTTCATGGAGAAAAGTGAAAGAAAGTATAAAGAAGCACAGTGAACAGATGCCCAAAGCGAAGCATTAAACCTAAAAAAACACCCAAAATTCCTCCCAAGAACTCTAAAAATTTTAACAGCAGTTGACTGTAGATTAGAAAATCTGTCGAGATATACCAGTCCATTATCCTGAAGTTGTGGAACAATGAGACCAGCACCAGTATGAATAGTGAAACTGCAAGATTATGAATAGAAAACTGTTCACTCAGAAATTAATACATAAATGAACATGAAATAAAAGATCTAAGCTATAACAATTTAGTTAGTTTTATAGGTCAACAACACAAGGAAACAGATTTCTTCGCTCAGGACCAGGAATATATAGCAAACATTCGTCTTTGAAATATTAATGTCGAAAAGTCAATTTAAGTAGTGTTTTGAAAGGGCTATACTACGTTGGAACGGTATGCAGGCCTGGAAAGATAAAACAATGGTAAAACAGCAGAAGATATACCTATGCCTTCCCTGTAAATTCTCAAGCTCCGCAATAAATCTGGCAAAGCATCGTACTCCATTACCACACATCTATAAGATACAAGCGCACAAAAATTCAGACTCAGACGTAATCGATAGAGAAAAGGAAATTATTTCTGAAGAAAACAATTAATTACCTCCGGTTCACTCCCGTCGGAATTGAATATCCTCATGGTATAATCAGTACCATTAACGCCCGGCAGAGCAAAGATAACTCCATCAGCACCGATCCCAAAGTTTCGATCACATAACTTCGCAGCTTGCTCCGGGGTGATCCTAGGCTCTGATGAGTCCCTATTATCGACCTATTCAAGCTCACTTGCAATTAATATCAGACTAATACCAAAATGCAGACTGATTAGCTGAGAATGAATAAAACTATCCTGCATGAAGAGAAGACTGGCCGAGAAAAAGTTTCCAATTAGTTTCTTATTAAAATCCATGTGATTCTCCATGATTAACATCACTGGAGTAGCAAAGTTAAGTTACAAAGTTCCGATTTCAGACTTCCACCATTTCAAATCCAAATCTCCAACAGATAAGCCATAGATAGAACAAACATTTACAATCAATTTAAAGAAAACCAAAACAAAACAAAATCATATCAGGCAGTACACTCAAAAAGTCATTACCAGGATGAAGTCATTGCCGAGACCATGGTATTTAACAAAGTGAAGGAGGCCACTCTCTCTCCGGTCAAGAAAAGAAGAAGAAAGCGCTTTCTCTGTAACTTCAAGGCCAGCGGAAGACGCGGAAGACGCGGAAGACGCGGATACGGAGAGCCTAGGGCTTCTTCTCCGCGCCGAATACTTCGAAAAGGAATCCAGTTGAAGTGTAGAAGAAACAGACGATCGGAGAGAAAAAATTGAGGCGAGAGAGCGTCGAGATGGAGAAGAAAATGGAAGAGAAATGGTGGCGGCTATGGCCATGGCTGCCTGTGGTGTCGGAGTAGAGACTTCCCTCTTCGGTGATCAGAAGCAGCGCAACAGAGAAGTCGGAGCATATACGACGGGGGAAAGAAGTCGTCGTTGCTGATCTGGCCATGGGCCATAAAACGGCCAAGCCCATATTTCAGAACACGTGGTTTGGGCTTATCTTTCCTTCGGCCCTTATATTTCAAATATTAATTTTTTTTAATTTAATTTTTATCTAGTCCTTAAAATTATAGATTTTATACTTGCACTCTATTTTTTATTATTAACTTTTAATTAATTAATTAATTAATTTAAAATAGTAATAAAAAATGGATCCTTCAATTATTTTTATTAGTGACAAAAAAATTAATTTGATCATAATTAATTTAACTATTTTAAATAATTAAATATTATAGTCCATAGACTAAATTGAAATTAAACCAATAAATTAAGGGTAAAAATACAATATTTTAAAATTAAAAAATAAAAAGAAAACTAGTAATTATTAAATTTTGAAAGGATAAAAAATATATATATTATTTTCTTCCTTAAATTTCATTTTAGTAGCATATTTTTTTAGTTAATGCATTTTAAATTAATTAGAAATATAAAAAGATATTTGGATAATTTTATTTAAATTTCATTTTAAGTTTAGTGTTTTAAATCTCAATTAAATCTATTTTTAGAAATATTCAAGTTAAATGACATGAAGATAAGCTTTTGAAGCAATTGGGTCCTTCTTCCATTTGAAAATTGTATCAAAAACTGCCATTAATGGAGTACAGAATCCTTCAAATCTTCTGAATTCTTAAGCTGACGATGATCTAAGCTCAATGATTTACAGTAGCTCTGTTGTGCTTGCCGCTAAACAATAGCGATTCGAGCTCGTCCGTCCGATCTCCAATCTTCCAAGTTCAGAACTCAACCATATGATATCCATATGGAGAAGATCTTACGTTTCATCATCTTGTAGGCAATTGATCAAACTCAAAGCGGATGCCTATGGCGCCGTCGTTACTCCGGCTGTACAATCCAAGAAAGCCCCATTTCCTCGCAGTGAATTGGATGCCCGCCAACTGTTCGACAAAATGCCTCAATTAAACGTGGTTTCTGCAACCTCTATGATTGGGCGCTGCGCAAGGCAGCATCAGCACGAAGAGGCATTGTGTCTATTTTCTGCAATGTTTGTGTTAAATTTAAGGCCCAACGAGTTCACTTTTGGCACTGTGATTCACTCTGCAACGGCACTCGGAGACATTGATATTGGCAAGCAACTTCATGCTTGTGCCATAAAAATAGGCCTTCACTCTAATGTGTTTGTTGGTAGTGCGGCTTTGGATTTGTATGTCAAGTTGAGTGTCATTGAGGAAGCTCAAAGGGCTTTTGATGATATCAAGATGCCTAATGTGGTTTCTTACACTAGTTTGATTTCTGGGTACTTGAAAACAGAGAAGATTCAAGATGCGCTCCGGGTGTTCGATGAAATGCCCGAGCGAAACATCGTGTCCTGGAATGCTATGATTGGCGGGTTTAGCCAAAAGGGACACAATGAAGATGCTGTACATCTCTTCATTGATATGCTCACAGAAGGGTTTTTGCCCACTCAATCTACTTTTCCTTGTGCTTTATGTGCTGCTGCTAATATAGCTTCCATTGGAATAGGGAGGAGTTTTCATGCTTGTGCTATCAAGTTCTTGGGCGATCTCGACGTGTTCGTGAGCAATTCGCTTATTAGTTTTTATGCAAAATGTGGAAGTATGGAAGATAGTTTGTTGGTTTTCAATAAATTGCTTGACAAAAGAAATACAGTTTCATGGAACGCTGTCCTTTGTGGTTATGCTCAAAATGGTAGGGGAAAGGAAGCCATAGATTTCTACCAGAGGATGAGTTTTTCAGGCTGCAAACCCAATGGAGTGACACTTCTTAGCTTGTTATGGGCTTGTAATCATGCTGGCCTAGTTGATGAAGGTTATTCATATTTCAATCAGGCGAAACTCGAGAACCCCAGCTTGTTAAAACCCGAGCATTATGCTTGTATGGTTGATTTGCTCTCACGTTCAGGTCAGTTTAGACGAGCAGAGGAGTTTATACACGACCTACCCTTCGATCCAGGGATTGGGTTTTGGAAAGCATTGCTTGGGGGCTGCCAAATTCACTCGAATATGGAACTTGGGGAGCTTGCAGCTCAAAGAATCCTGGCCTTGGATCCAAGTGATGTCTCGTCGTATGTAATGATGTCGAACGCGCATTCAGCAGCCGGGAAATGGCATAGCGTGTCGATATTAAGAAGGGAAATGAAGGAGAAGGGGATGAAGAGAATTCCGGGTTGCAGTTGGATTGAAATTAGAAGCAAAGTTCATGTCTTTGTAACTGGTGACAAAAATCACCACCAAAAGGATGAAATTTGTTCTACCTTGAAATTTTTTGTTGAACACTTGAAAGAGAGTGAAGATTTCAACTTTCTTTCAGATTCATAAATTGGATATGATTGGTAAGAGGTTGACAAGAGTTATTGCAACTTGAAAGGATAAAAACAATTTGCTCAATAATTCTCTGTATTTAGACGACAACGACAACGACAACGGTGACATCCCATATTGGTTGGGAGGAGAACGAAACATTATTTGTAAGGGTCTAGAAACCTCTCCGTAATAGATGTGTTTTAAAAATCTTGAGAGGAATCCCGAAAGAGAAAGTTTAAATAGGACAATATTTGCTAACGGTGGATTGAGTCGTACAAATGGTATCAGAGCCAGACAACGGGCAATGTATTAGTGAGGAGGTTGAGTCCCGAAGGGGGTGGATAAGAGGCAATATGCCAACAAGGACGCTGGGTTCCAAAGGAGGGTGGATTGTGGGTCCCACATCGATTAGAGAAGGGAACGAGTGCCAAGGACGTTGGGCCTCGAAGAGGTGGATTGTGAGATTTTACATCGGTTGGAAAGAAGAACGAAACATTCTTTAGAAGGGTATAAAACCTTTCCCTACCTAACAAGTTTCAAGAACTTTGAGAGAAAACCTAAAGTTAACAATATTTGCTAGCAGAGTGATTACATCAGCAACCATAAACTAACTTGAGACACCAAGTAATATTTGCACCAGCTACATGGCTAATCACGAGGTGCCATGTGGGAAGTTACAACCCAACAAGAAACCAAATATTACTCATCGAGAAAATTGACGTTTCGACATCCCAAAATAAATTCCTCCAACGGCGATTAATCCATACCATAAAAAAACATGATTTGCAATCATTCACATGATAGAATAACAGATTTACGGTAAGTGAAACTGTAGTAAAACGTATAGTTGAAGTAATATAGTATAAAATTACCTCTAGTCGAGGCAAACGATCTAACCCGACAATTATTGAACCATGATATGTCAAATAAACCATTTTCAACCCCTATCCCATAGCTTTCATCTCTCGGTGGCTAATGAGTTTGGAATATTTCTCACTTTTCACGTCCTACCCTCAAATTTTCTCTAAATTTTTATCTAGCCCCTTTACTTTTTGTTTTTTGCATTTTGGTCCACAACAAACGCATATTTAATTTTCACCCAACCTCATAAATTAATCTCAATATATTTTAATTAGCATTGAGAATTTGAAGATCTTTGGAAAGATTCTAAGTTGATAATAGGAAGGCATGTGATTGAGTTTGGAATTGCTTGCCCATTTTTGGAATAACTCCAATTCATAAACACTGTGTTTCATTAATTATTCAATGTACCTGTCACCGCACACGAAGTTGGAGGGTGGATCCAAATTTTCTTTATAAGTATATGGAAATCTCTCCCTACCAGACACGTTATAAAATTTTCAAGGGAAACTCATAAGTGAAATGGACAATATTTGCTAATGGTGGGCTTGAGCAGTTACAAATAGTATCAGAGTTAGACAGAGGGTGGTGTGTCAACTAAGACATTAGACCTTTAAATGGGTGGATTGTCAGATCTCATATTGGTCGGAAAAAGAAACAAAACATTCCAAGGATATGGAAAGCTCGACAATATCTGCTAGGGTGAGAGCACGTGAATTTAAAAAACATAATTAAATTTTACGAATAAAATTAGGTTACCTTGTAATATACTTTCGAATAAAAAAACAATTTAAAAAATGGTGTGAATTGAATTATAATTTACCTGATGCAAAGGGAATGGTTTGATTAAGGGTAGTTTTTCAGGGAGATTCATTAATTCAATGGTTCTTCGAGATCTTGAAAAACTGACATTTAAGTGAAATATTTATTCAGATTGTTGGCTCTTTCTCATCACTGTTAACCGCAGTTGCTGGACGGTATTTCCTTTTCTTTAGCTTAACCGTCTTGTCTTTTCCGCGCCCGTGTTTGGAAAGAAATTGATGGGAATTGAAAAAAAAAAACAATACTAAATGCACAAAGTTTTTGTTGAAGGTGTGAATTTAAAATTTAAGATTATTAGGTTTTTTTTTTTGGTTAAAATGGTGAGTTAGTTTTGGAAGAAAATGAAAAAAAAGGGTAAAAACGTAATAATCAAATTAAAATATAGTTAATTTGATTAATAATTTGATTCATATGTATTTTTATAATCATTTATTAACATTAAAATTTCGTAACAATACAAATTTCTAATTATTATTCCAAAAGTCAATAATTCATAATAATAAATAAATAAATAAATAAATACCAATTCAACCAAAAAGTAATATTGTAGCAAATTCAAAAATAGAAATTTAATAAAAAAATATTTAAATTTCAGCTTTGAAGCATACAAACAATGTGCATGCACGTGTATTAATAATAATAGTAATAATAATATATTATTTAAAAACACAAAAAATATTAAATTTGTCATGATTTATAATATCATTTAAAAATAATAATAATTGGTAAATTTTAAACAGTTATTTTCGTCAAAAAAAAAAAAAAAAAAGAAAATGAATAAATAAAAAGAGATTATATTATTTTAAATTAGTATATATGAAATTACAAAATTGGGAGAAATGGAACCGTACGTATTATTTGAAAATGAAAAAAAAATAAAATAATAATAATATGGATGGAAAATGACAATTAAATCCGAGGACTGTGCTGGCTTCTACC